AGTGAAAATTGAGTCAGTCTTAAAAAAGAGTGGCCCAATTTTCAATCTTTAAAAACGAAATTTTATTCTTTAAAATGACAATTTACTTTAAAAGTTTTAAAAAGTAATATCTAATGATTCCGGTACGGGCATTTGTTCGCATTTTCAAGTACGATACACACGATGACGGTCGAACGTTTATCACAAACGCACATTTATGAATATTATGCGGCAAAGATAACGAAAAAAAAAAAAGAATTCTTGCGGAAGACATTGTCGCAATCGACTCGAATACGATTGGCACGTTACATGCGTGCGATTGACGTTAAATTTAGGTGATGAGTAAGCTACGCGCAAAAAAACACCGTTTAAAAATATATACGATACTATTCGATCGGCCCACTAAATCGGCCAATATGGGTTTTCTTGACCCAGATACGATGATTAATCAGGATGGAAAGGGAAGGGACGGGCTTCTTGTCAAGATACTTCGCGTGCGTTCCATTCGATAGTCAATTAATGTAAGAAGAAAGGGTGCGGTATGTCAAGAGAAGCAAAGAATGGAGAAAATCGATATTCGACCGTTAATATTAGGCCGCTTTGAAGACCACTGATCGAAAGTTCTCATTAAAGAAAAAGCGAAAGAAGAAACAAATTGGTTTTAGTTTTGCATATCAAAATAAATTGATTTCAGATTTTAGATTTCTATGTACTTTTGAACAGCAATTATTTTCTATTAACAGGAGTAACTTGCGTTATACCGCGCATATTACAACTGCATGTAAAATATCAAAAAAATTTAGTTACATTTAAATTTAGATACAGACCTGAAAATAATTTTATTGGACCATTAAAATAATTATGTAGGAAACTTAAACATGATAAACAAAAGTTTCAACATTCTGGCAACTATATAAATTATTTCGACAGTCTAATAAAATTATTTTTATTTCTGTATCTGGCTCACTTTATAGATGCTTAAGCAAAACTGTTCTTTGTGAAATTTTAGAAATTTTCATTATAAATTATACTCATCGTTATACTAATAATACTTCATCATTTCTGTGTTTGTGATTGAGGATGCTGCTGCGCATTGGTGCGCGCGCGAACAGTAGACTGATTTTGTAAATCTTATCGGATCTGTCACGAGTCTTAAAAGATCACCTGCTAATGATGTTAATAAGCCATCGCGATTCCGCAAAATACACGCAAAAGTCGTTTCGCGTCAGTATTTTATACGGATACGAGAAACGCCAGTGTCAATTAAGTAATTTGTAAGCACTTGCGCATACAAAAATACATACATCGTTGTGACAAGTCACAATTGCTTTATGAAGAGCGTAAATTACGATACGAGTAAGACACGGCCTTTCCAAGTCACGCGTATTTACGAAGCACATCTAAAGATTTTGCTGTGCGAAATTGCACATATTTTATTTTTATACCTCAGTCACGATTAACGTGCGACCTTCCATTATCTCGCACACTTAAACGCGATTTCTTGTGCTTTATGATTTTTGCAAAACTTCTCTTCGCAGTTTGTCGAAGTACTTTTTCGTACTATATACATAAAATATATATACATATATAAATATTTAAATAATATATATATAATTATTTTTATTGGTTAGAATATAATAAATTACAATAATAATAAAGAGTCATTTATGATAGTTCCTGTCAAATTAATAATTTAGAAATAGTGATCGAATGGTAAGAACAAAAATTAAATTCTGTAAGTACGAATGCGATTGTCACTTTGTCACGATCGAGCTATTACAGCACTGTAAATCGCTCTCTGAATGATCGGTTACATCACTATCCGCAAGCCTCCTTGTTTACGCATCACCGTTTACATTCTGTTACCTTTTGTCATCGGCAATTTAACGTTTGATCGACCGTTGAATTGAAAGAAACATCTTATTATATTGTTGCGTATCGAGCACTTCAATCCGCCAATAATACAATAGCGATCCAGCGCGCTAAATGTCACCGATCGTAAGATTCCGCGGGAGGAATCGATTCGCGATCGTTCGCGTACTCACTTTTCTTCGAGGAGCGCGAGATCTTCTCTCTTTTCCCTCGGGATCGATCGCGCAGGTGCACCGTGCGTGCCTGCACGGGAAAACGTACGCGGATGCTGCACACGAACGAGACCGCGGAACGTGACGTGACGTGACGGGACTTGGCGCGGCGAGGCGAGAGACGCGGTAAAAGATCGCACGCAGGTCCAGCACGCGCGCGCGTTCCGCTCGCAATAGGAGATGACCAGAAACTGTGCCAAGAACAGTGCCGCGGCGGCCGCGCCAAACCGCGATGTGGCATACACCTACGACGTAACACACCTACATCGGTGCTACGGGTGTACCAATACCGCGGCGACGGAGAAGGCCTACGCGCGCGTATCGGTCCCGCGGTGCGCTATCGCGACTTACGCGAACGGCATGTATCGCGATCGTGAGATGCGGTCAGCGGTAGGAGAGCGCGGGGCTCTCGAGAGTAGAGCTCTAGATGTATCGGAGTAGCGCGATCCTTTTATTTCAGCCAAATACCGACAACTTTCCTATTAGCTATTTTTTGTCTTGATTATCTATCAAATAAGTGTATTATACTGAAAATTTAACTTGATTAAAATACAAGTTAATCCATAATGAAATTAATTGAATTAAAAGTTAAGTTAATAAAAAAAGTAATGGAAAAATTAAGTTAAATTTGGTCCGAACGAACAACCAAAAAAAAAAAGAAAAAGTTTGACCATTTTACATAATTTTTCGTATCTCTCCTTTCTCAACATATTTATTAAAAATCTGGTTATTTTTGTTCACAAGTAACGATTATACAATATAAAATTACTAAATTATATACTCATTATCCTCTCGCATTGTGTCCGAGGATTAACTTAAAAAAAATCAAAGTTACCGATAAAATATAATTAAATTAAGTTAAAAAATTAAGAGTCTAAAATGTAACTAATTGTAAGTTAAGTTAAAATTAATTAACTTTTTAACTTAACTTTATCTTTTTAATTTAGCACTATCCAACCTTGCTAATAAGTATATCATAAGTATATCATAAGTATAAGTATATCATAATAAATAATAAGTAAGCTTAGTAAACAATTCTTTAATATGATAAGATTATTGATATTGTTAAGTCAAACATGATAGACCTTTGCGCTACTCTGGTACATCCAGAGCTCTACTATTAGAAGAACGCTTGCCTGCGCTTTTCTTTTTTGTACGAATCGCTCTACGCGCGAGATTTTATCTTCGGCTCCGAGGAACGCGCCTGGAGCCGCTCGTGACAGGCCGAGGGTAAACTTTGCCGCTCATCCGATCCTCTGTACGAACGCGTCGCGCGTCTCGCTCCCCCGGGAAAGTCTCGGTGTCCGCGACTTTCCACGCGAGCTACATCTCTATCAAACTCCTTCGACACGGTCGTTAACTCCGAGGAGTCGAGCGGCGACGAATTAATAAAATTTCACGTAACTTTCCTACAGATCTAAAAAAGTATATTTTACTCGACGTTTCGTTCAATTTTCCTGATGAGAAATATTTTATTACGATTTTCCGCGTGTGAAAAACTATACCGCTATGCAAATACTATAAATAAAATGAGAGACTCGCAATATTCTAAGACGCAGTTGCAAGGTCAAGAGTGGAACGTTTCTGCGTTCTTAGGAATATAACTGAATTATTAGGACGTACAAACGTGATACGAGTAAAATTACTTTATGAAAAGCGTAAATTATGATACGAGTGAGATATGCCCTTTCCGATCTATCTGCAAATGTATCGCGATTTACAGAGAGTGACGTAGTATAATTATGTATATCGTCGTTACGCCACAATGTAATTTTCTGCGATAGGTTCTAGAAGAAAGAGTCCGAGACGGAGCTGACGTACTGCATTAACGTGCTCGTTAGTTTGCGCACGTTGCGTGACCTCGAGATAACACCGCGATGAACCGACTGACATTGCCGCTATATTTGCGCACATAGGTAATGAATGGTTTTATACGCGTAGACGACTATTCCATATCAACTGAAAAACGAGTATTCGTTGCGGCAACTCCGGAGTAATTAGACTTTCCCGTTTTTTGCATATGTACATATATATACTTTTATATGCATATATATGTATATATATTTACACTATGGATTATATATAATTAAAAAGTATATCACATATATACATTGTACTTTTTATTAGTAGAAAATATATCTATCACACGTAAAACCGTTTTGCAATGTTTATGCTATAATAAAAAATGATAAATACAATAATTGGAATTAGTTTAGTACAGCCAATTTGTTTTCGGTCATATTTTGTATTTATCGTAATTTTTGAGAATTATAATCCGCTCTAACTTTGCAAAATATTGTAAAAATATACGCCTTGTAACGGCATTTTAAAAAGATATACAAACATATTGCAAATAAGTTAAAATAATTTTAGAATTTTGTTTTTTTGTAAACGTTGATATAAAATAGTATTAAAAAATAAAAAAGTATTATTTTTTAGAAAGCGTATCTTTAAGAAATGTCGAAAGAATGGTAAGTTTAAAATTGTAATTGTAATTAATAATCGATATGGATAATTTTATTCAAAAACAAAGTTAATATTATATAAAATGTAAAAAAGCATAATCTTAAAAAGTGTTTTTGATAAAACTGAAAAAAATAGCAAGTTAAATATTAGGATTATAATTATAATAGTGCATTTATCTCGTTCAAGATACTTTTGAAATGCAGAAGTGTTAAACCAGTTGCAGGGTTTCAGGCATACGTTGCCTTATCTTTGTTGTACAAATGTGTCAAGAATACGTTTTTTTTATTTCTTATTTCTTATTTATATTCATATAGTTAATAGAATTCTTTCTTTTCAATTTTAAACATTTAATCTGGAACTTTGTGAATCTTCAAAATTTAAATTTTAATGCTCTATTTTCAACGTGATTTACATTAAGATAAAGAAAATAAAACATCGGAATTTTACATGTCCATCGATGGCAGGCAAACGCGCAGTTGTTCTGTCTACTTAACCTATTGGGTTAAGTAGACTACATTAAAAAAAATATTTGTCTAATCAAGAAAGTTCAAAATTGAAAAGTTTAAGTCGAGAATGATTTTAAAGGCGGAAGATAAATTCGAAGTTAAATTGGTTTCGAAATTTCGGCTACGCGATGTTTGGCTTGCCTCTTGAACTGCAAATATTATCCGTAAATGTCTTAGGCTTGGTAAATATCTCAATCTCAATAATGTGCATGCATGACTAGTAACAATATCTCATAGAATTTAAATAAAACTTGAGGGCTTGAATTCTTTTACAATAATTTTAGAATTGTAAATCGCTAAGGTTAATTTCATAAGCACACAATTCAATTATATACAATATATATTATAATGTTGCATACTTATCAGTTACACTTATACACTTTTACATATATATTGATCATTTAAATTGCTATATATAATTATTATATAATTATGATATAATATATAATATTATTATAATTTTGTTCTAATATTATGATAATTATGTTCTATTTTAATTTATTTTAATAGTAATTTAAATAATTTTTTTAAATATATATCATCTTCAACTTTCAATTTTAACATCAAGGATTTAAAATTTGTCTTTGATATTTCCTATTCAAATTAAGTATATTATATCACTTTGTTAAGGCCAGCATCACTTTAAACTGGAACTGGTTTAAGTGGGACCAGCAGCTAGAGAAGATCTCGAACGTCTCAGTTTCACAATCCGACGAATTAAATGTAGAAAATATCGACTGGCTTAAGACGAGTTAGCACTTCGTCTTGTATACTTGACATAAAAAGACACAATTCTTATTGTATCTACTGGTATAATCTAAAAATATTCCTGTCATGTAGAAGTAAGAGCTAAGGATGAAAAATTTCTTCAGTTTTATCATGGATTGTCGTCGCACGATTCATCATCGATCGCGTCTCGCTCCTCGCATACGTGGCTAACATTTACACAATAGTGACGCGAAGCCGGCAGAATTTGCTCATACCTTGGATGGTACTCACTTGTCTTAAAGATATCATTTTGGAAGTCGTCGTGATTGTTATTACTTTCCTGCTATGGCATGCTACGAAGGGAAGCTTCCCGACGTCGCTCCTCGTTGAGTTTATCGTAGACAAAACAATAAGAATGGGTAATAATAATAATAATGATAATTAGTAAGTAGAAATGGAATTGATCAGTGATAAGAAGTACACAGATGTAGCACAAACGTACTCTCTAAATTTCTTGTAGTGGAATCTGACTCTAAAGAATCTTGAAAAAGAGTGGCTTAATTTTCAATCCTTAAGAGGAAATTTCTCTCTTCAGAATAAGATTTAGTTTAAAAATTTTAGAGAATAGGTGATTAAATCACAAGTTTCTTTTTCTCTGCGAAAACCTTGATCATTTCAGTTATCTCGATCGGCAAGTTGTGCACAACCCTCAAATGGTATATGCAGCTACGAAGGGTGGCGAAACTTCGCAGGTTTACAATAATAGCGCGGAGAAGCATCGCGAGTATTCCTAATGTTCCCGGCAGAGTTGGTCGTTCTCTGGATGATGAGTGTCTTGGTATAGCGATAATTAGACGAGGCAAGTATGCGAGTCTATTAAATCTGGAAAGGCATTCTGAGGAATCTTCCAGCAGCACGAACACGAAATCCTTGACGACCTTAGTCACTGACGACACGAATGGCACGAATGGCACGAACGGCGCGAACGGTTACATTTCCGATGATTTGAGCGTGGCTGAAAAATCGATGAGGATGTTGAATGTAACTGCGGAGGATGTGATGGACGCGCGTGCCAGGATACAAGAGCGATCTTATTGGAACGAGCAAGACGCGATTGCGGAAACACCTGAAGTGATAGAAGAAGTAATAAAGCAACTTCCTTTGGAAAAGAACGAAGAAGAAATAATCAATGCAGCAAGAAATACACAGTTAACGAAGGATAATTTAGCAAAAACTGTGAATAATACCTTGAAAAAAGAAAATATGGGGTATCTTCCAGTGAAGAAAGAAGAGGAAAAAGGTAATGAAGAAACTATTCTGATTGACGAGAAAGAACAGATTTTGACTGAAAATCAGGAAAACGTTTTATTGAAAAGCGAAAAATTCACGTCTGACGAAGTGGATCACGCGAAATCAACGGATTCTCATGATATTTATGTGACATCGAAGAAGAAAAGAAAAGAGAAAAAGGAAGGAGTTGAAAAGATCGTGCAATGTCCTTCGTTCCAGAGTATGAATGCAAGAAACACAGAGGCTAAGCCATGTGCCTCCCTCATAAGAAAATTAGAGGCGAAATTCTGTCCCGTTTCTGTAAATCAACAGAAGTGGATCGATAAAGTCGATCGTAAAGGGTATCCTTATGAAGTCAACACACAATTAACTCCAACTAGTTCAAGCGCAAGTAGAAAAGAACGTTATAAGATCTTGAAAATCTCATGCGGGTGTCATCGTGCTTTGCGTAATAGTTCGAAAAATGGGAAACACGTGCGATCAATCGATACCGATGGTAAAAACGTTGAATATGATATTAATAGAAAAGAATTTAGATCTTTTAGACCTATCGTCAATATGCAGAGAAGCAGGATTGACAAATCCGCGTTTAAATATTCAGAAGTATATCGTTTAAAGAAGCAAATTAAAAAATGGGAAGAATCTCATGGTAAGCACTCCTGGGGAAATAAATCTTTAGCCGAAACTGCACGTTCCTCGGGATACGCAAAGAACATCTTTGATGTATCTGATAAGTTATCTGTTGTAAATTGTCGAAAGAGCGTTCAGACTGAAACTTATGATGAGTCGATGATGATGAGCGATTCTTTGAGTGATCGATACAGATTGAAATACAGTCAGAAGCGAAGTAGACGACTGGTCAATTTGCGTTCCGTTCACAATGTGGCATCATTTAGAGAAAAGAATTATTCGGAGGCACGTGAAACGAAGATGGAAGCTTTAGGAACCAATAATAATTTTACGTTGGAAAATAAAAGAGAAACGAAAGCGAGAAAAAGACAGGATCTGTTGTCGGCGAATCGAAAACTGTCGATCGAGCAACGCGAAGCGATAGAGTTGAAAGCTTTAAAAGCTTATAACGAGCTTACCTTGTCGGAGGATAAGAGAGAATTGGAAGTAAGAAAGGACCGAGATTCATCGTTGAATTACCAACAATTGACGAAGGAATCCGAAGTACCAGAGATGAAAGTTTTAAAAACTTATAACGATTCCTTATCGGAAGATAAAAAGGAGATAAAGAGAACGAGAAGATATAATTTGTCGCCAAGTTCCCAGCAATCGATTGATGAACGAAGTACCTCGAGAGTTCGTAACGAACTTGAACGATCGGGAAGCAAGAGAGAGCTGCAAACTAGGAGAAAACGCGAATCATCTAGAGATGAAACGCCATCGGAATGTGAAAAAGTTGTCGAGACTCCAGCGAGCGTCTCTAATCGTCTTTCAATAAGTAGTTGTGAGAATGTCATGATCTCCACACCACATCAGAATATAAACAGCAATTTTAGTCTAAATCCTTACGCAAGACAGGCGCATACGTCGCTGAATCTCTGGGAGATCACGAGAAACATCGAATGGACCGTTCATCCGCAGGGTATTATACTCACTAATAAGAATCTGCAAGGTCAATTCCTTGAGAATGAGAGATTTTGCGAAAGCCAACAACGCGACATTGTTGATGACAACACTGCCAGCACGTTGCACAGTGCTTTCTTCTTTAAACCCGAGATCATAATGCGGGTCTTTCGACGCGCTCACAACCAGACGAGGATCGACGAGTTCTTCTCGAGATTTCCGACGTTCCTGCGGCAGGATTTCAACACGGAGTTTGTCTGTCAAACGAACAATGAGATTATCGTGCGCCATTGGAACTCGCCGTTCGACTGCGATCTCGAACGGATGATGGAAAACGACCGAAACAATCTTGAAGAGCAGTTCAACGCTAATGAAAATCGGAATACCACAAGCGAGCATGATCGCAATCTGTGTATAATAGTCATTGATCAGGAACAGGTTTCCAACGAATCGCAAACTGCGATAGAAGATTCGATGACCGTCGAAACTCAAGAAAACACGCGTTCGAGCATTGAAAGTATTCAAATGACGAATATTTTGGCATTCAATGAAAATCACAACCGCGTGGATAATGCAACCAACGATAATTTGCCAGTTCAATTGATCACAGATGTATTAAGAAATTTCAGTATCGAAATGTCAGAAGGAAGTATACGCGATGTTGCATTGCCGATCGAAGAATGCGAAGACGTAAGTAATGTGAATGAATGTAATAATTCTCAACCACGAGAATTTAATGTGGATAATATAAATCTTAACATAGAAGATAATAACGAGTGTGATAGAATTTCTTCACATAAAAATGCGGATGTTGATGATACAATTCACAAAATTGAGCCTTCATTGGATTCTTCATTGGATTCAAGAGATAATTATCTAGATAACGTAAATGTTACATCGTATGTTAATTCGTTAGAAAAATTAAATAATTCGAGAGATAAAAAATATTTAAGTACAATCGATATTCATTCTGAAAGCGAGATGTGCGAGAATAATTCATTTCTTAAAAGTATTGGTAATAATACATTACAATTATCCGATAATAATAATAATAAACAGTTTGACACGTTGGATAATGAAACTGAGAAAAGTACGTTTAATCATGTTTGTAAAAATTCTTCGAAATTATCTTTCTCCAGTCCATCGTCACTTATTAAATCAGATAGTCACGCAGTAAGATCGAACGATGAAAAACTACAAAAGTTAACCCAACTTTCAGATAGCGCAACTACGTTGAATGATCAAGGAAAAGAATCGGAATCGAATTTAAAAGATACGAATTATACAATTCCACAACTTTATGATAGAATTCCACAATGTCGGAGTGTCGAAATTTTGAAATTGGAGACCATGATACCAGATAGCACAAGAAATCAGAACGAAAATAGAAACGAAGAAGCAAGTGAATTTTTGGCAGAAAAAATTTTCAAGATGCTTTCAGACGATAAGCTCCAGCAAGACGATAGCTTTTATGATAGAAATGATGATCCAGGAACACCGGTTTCTTTTGACGACAGTAGTTTAATGGAGGAGTTTTTAAACGATCCCGTGCCTTTAAATTCTTCTTAAGGGAGAAATTAGGTATTCTCAATAACATTCTCAGTAACAAAAATGCGTATCGTTAGCTTGTAACATAGGCTACGATTACACCGTGCGCTTAGTCCGCGATTTATACGACAGGCATCCTTGTTTAACTTATAGATTAAACAAAGACGCCTATCGTATAGGCCGTAGACTAAGCGCACGGTGTAAACTAAGCCATAGACACTTAGGTCCATTTTCACAATATATGGTTACCTAAAGATTAAAGGTTATGAATGAATTTCATTGATGAATATCTTGAAAACCTTTAATCTTAAGGTAACCATATATTGTGAAAACGAGCTTTAGTGTTTAAATAACATTTTGTGTGTAATCATCATGTAAAGTCATCTGTCTAAAAATTAATCTGTATAACACATGAGAAAGATAAGGTGTCAACGCGGTTAATTGACAATTTTCATTACTAAATTATAAATACATGCTTTATTAACTAGTCATAAAGTCATAATCTTCTATGGATGCAATAAAGAGATGTTACAATGAAAAGTTTGAATTGACAAATTTACAGTTACGAAACGTCATTATTGATTATCATCATTATAGAAAAAAAAATCTACATTTCCACTTATGACTATAAAGTAGTGTTAATGATGCTTGCAGTTCATCGATCAACTTTGACATTTCTTTTTTCATACACACATAAGATAATATATGAATAGTTATAATAAATTAAAGGAACGTGTTACATACGATAGCAATATATTTTATTCCTATCAGAGAGATATAATAATTTTATATATCTAGTAAAAGTTTTATACAAATGTTTTACATATGTACAAAATATAATTATGTTAAAAATTTTACATCTAATTGTCTAATCATTGGTAACTCGGAAGTTCTGCACTGCTTACAGTAGTAGGAATATTTAAATAACGCTTGTGCTAAACAATGCTAAATGTCATATATAACACGAAGACATGTACGCTAGATCGTTCAATTTATCGTAATTTACGATTAGATAATGCAGGAATACAATAAATAAATGGAATAACTTAAGAAGAAAAGGTGTATCCCTGAATGATGTTCAACGCTTCAATGCTAGAGATTTCAATGCTTATACTTTAAAGAGACAGTCGAGTTAAAATCTGATTCGAGTTTTAAAGAGACAATCGAGAATTAATTTAATTTGAGATGTGAAAAAAATTTTTAACAAGTATCGTCGAGGCTCGGATCTGAGTCAGGAACTACGTAATTAGGATCGCAGACCGTATCCCTGATAGCTTCTTTAATGTTTGCCTTAAATACTCTGTAATTAATACTTGCGCTATTTAGTGTCCCGTATAAATACATCGGTAATCGGTTCGAGAGAATCCACACACTTTGATCCGATTCGTGGTCCACTTTAATGTCGTTTGGAAACACCAAGGACTCGTTGCTAGTACCAATCACGCCTAGATTCTGCGGTATATATTCCTTTCTGGTGTCCCAACACCATACGGAGTCCCTGGTGGCCATGTTGAAGAACATGACACCGTTCTTATCGATAACGGATCCCGAAGAATGGCCGTAGTCTTTGGCTCTAGGTTTACCTACGGGCATGAATTTCTCCGTGTTAGAATCTGCGGTTCTCTTATCCCTGAAAACCGACGTGGACACGGCGAACTCTCGGAAGCTAGAGATCGGATGGAAAAACAACGTTCTTTCGTTGTGGACGTCCACGGGACTGAGCGTCATTCCAAATATTCCGTCGGTCCATTGGAATTTTATACTGTGCAACTCGTATCTCGACGCCAAAGGATCAGGATAGAAGAAGTGATGCTCGACTCTGAAGGAGGAATCCTTAAAGAAGTCGTACACCACGATACCATATCGCCAGACGTCAGCCAAGTATGCTACTGCAGAGCCGCAATCATTATTTCTGATATCCACCGCGATGTTGATGTATAGGGAGTCTTGCTTGACGTGTTCATTCGGCAAGATATATTTTCTGATGAGAGTATCGGTGAGTAGATCAAAGATGTATATGGTGGGCGGGCAGACCTGTTCGGATCTTGTGGCGAGCTCTGTTTTGCCGGAGTCGAGGACCCACAGACGATTGCACTCGTCCACTTGAACTCGAAAGACCGACGTTAAGCTCTCGCAGTTTTCTGGAAAGAGAGAGAACGAGCAATATTTGATTATTATGGATTTGCAGATAAATTTTAAATAAATTAAATTTCTAGCAAAAAATTTTCTTTAGAAGAACAATAAGGTTCTTCAAAATTGCTTTAAAATTTCTTTTCTCTTTAGTTTATTAACTTATTGATTTGCTCTCTCATGACGTTATAAAATTAAATAACTTTTAATGGTTCGCGCTTTTATTTCATTAAGAAATGGAAGGCAAGATTGTTTGTTATAGCAAGACAATTAGCGTGAGAAACTCATTTACTTAGTTTCCGCACTTTCTTGATTTCGTGAAAAATGCTGTTTCTTATATTCTTAGACTCTTCGCGTAAGTTTAACGTTATATAATTCGTAACCTGTTCTCGCAGAACCTTCCTGCACGCGAATCACTTTCTTATCTCCACATTATAACTTAAATTGTGTTTGTATAACTTAAATTGAAATTGTTTTAGATTATTACAGCGTTTTGCTTAAATTTTTTAATTATATTTCGGGCAATCTCTATTTTTATACACGTTAAATTTAAATTTACAATATAAAGCACAATAAATTCTCTCTTCGGTATTTCTCTTCAGTATTAGAACATTTATTCATTATGCGTTTTTATTGCATTAAAAAAATATTAAAAGTTTAAAATTATCTAAAAATTGAAATGACTACTATAGCATGATAATTACTTAGCAACTTTCATACAAGAATAATAGTCTAAAACAGAGTGTTGGAATCTAGTTGTCGATCGGCATTAAGGCTGTGCGCGGGTTGGTGAAGTAAGGAGCAGGAACCAAGCTGAAAATCGGCCGAAATGTGCAACTAAATCCCAACAAGTCTAAAAAAAAGACAAAGAATAGGATCTGATAATTAGCATAAAGATAACCTGGCTTATTCCATCGCCAATTAGGATACGGTTTTAATTTGGGGCTCCTTGTCTTGGAATATCTGGGCACGGTAGCCAGAGTCACCGGTATGCCTGTTTTCCATTTTGGCAAAGTAATGAATACTTTATCGCGCCAGACTCCCAGGCCCAGAGGCAAGTTATTCTCTGCTATGTAGTCGCCCTCGAATATAGCTTTGTCTCGTGCGTCGATACTGTCGAATTCAAAATCAACCATGGACCAAGCGTATACCTATTAAAAAATCAACTATAAATACGAAGTTTGTTGAAAAATCCACAGTACCTATATCAGCCATCTTGAATTGTAATTAATTTTGTGTGAATAATTTTTCGTCAACGAAATTTCAATTTTATAAGATAATCTTGTAAAATGGGTTTTAACTTTTTTTTTGGTCTGATATGTCACATTGATATACAAGAATCGATTATTTAAATGCAGCAAAAACGTGTTGCTTTTTTACTTATCAATAAGATTACTGACAAACAACAGAATAACAAACGCAATTACGGTATAATACAATTTATTTATTATTTATATATTAATAAAACTGTGCGTACGGTCCATATAAAATTACATAAATTATTTGAACGACTTTCTTTGCTTCCAACATTACATTTAGAAATAGTTTTCGTCTAAACTTGCAACAAAAAACGCTACGTACTAGTTCCATAGCGGGACCAACATAGTCGTCTATAATGCGTCCCGGCTCGAAACCGTCGCCGAAATCATGGAAGTCTAATTGATTGACCGAGTGAGGATCCGCGCGGAACGTATCGATGGTTCTTCCAATAGACCTGGAAGGATTGCTTCTTCCCAGATTGGATGTAGCAATGTGGTATCGTGATTGCGGCGTTGACCCGTAAAGATTGCCTACGTTCGTGGAATCCGTTGATTTTTCCTTCGGCGTATGATTATCGCAATTTCGCGACGTGCCGGCGTGTTCATCATAAGTCAATGCAGAATCTTTGTAATTGATGTTCTAGCATACAAAACGTAATAAAATTTCGCGAAGTACATTACTATTTTTAATCAAAGAATTCTAAACCAATATAAATGGCTTAGATCTGTAATTGTAAATAATACAAATATTATTTTGTGTAACACATTTTTAAAAATAAATATTTCAGGTCAAAAATTTTAAGGAAAAATTAATTAGAAATAATTTTATACAATTAATTCATAATTGATTAAATAAATTGTAAATTGACTAAATGATTTATAATTGAAAATGAAATTGTTTATATTGTTTCTTACTTGCGAAAAAAATTGTGGAGTTAAAAAGAACGAAGTTAACGGCAACGAGGGTGCTTGAAGGTCCCTGGATAAAATATTGGGACCCGTGTAAGCTGCTAATTTTGGGACGGCCAGTAGCGACATTGACAGCAACCATGGTATCGTACTCGCCATGCCTGTGAAACAAAATTTAAGGTCTGCTGTGTGATGAGATTTACATTTTTATGACACGAAATTGCGTCAAATGATTTATTACGTCTTGATAATCCTATTACATCGTTATAACTGTTATGAGTTACGATCAATAAGAATTATAAGATTAAATGAAAATGAATGAAAGGACGAGTACCGATGTTCCCAATACGATTAGAAATGCAGTAAGATTTTCGCAGAGTCACACATCCGACGACGTGGTAATGTTTAGCTCCTTTATTGAGGTAAGTAGGACTCTGCATTCGCGCGAGGCAATTATCAATACACTTCGAACTATAATAGCGCGCGCTCGAGACTTTGAGTATGCTATATCGAGGTAGCCCCCACTTCACTTC